TACTTAAGGCATTTGATTAAAATTGAGATTAATTTGGCTTAACCCTAGCAAGTAGGGAATCACTGAAAAGTGAAAGTGCCGGGGTGCCTTACCCCTTCCCCAGACTTAACCGAACCTCTTACCCTGATCTCGGACCGCAGACCAAGACTTTATCCAAATCCCGGAAACTTATCCCTGCCGAATGAATAGGTGACAACTCTATACTCACCCGTGAGATTCAAACCAGGATTTTCCCGAAACCCGCGCTCACAATTGGATCAAATTGGATCATATTAAAGATGTTAAAGATTATATCCAAGTCCAAGTCATATTATGAAGAAGAAGATTTATCATGAAGCCAAAGAAAGCAAATTAAGTCAAGATCAAACTAAAGAAAAATGAAGACTCTCTTAGAAGATTTAATGTTTTATATTTTAGTTTGAGAGTATTTATGAATTTTGTAAAATGTAGAGACCCAAGTTTTCTTTCATGTCATCAATACGATTAATAAGGGTTTAAATGATCAAATATGCATTTTAATATATATGATGCCTTGTTCCTTAATTATCTTAAGTAAATATTTAAAATGACTAGGTGCAGGAATGCCAGAAATTCTAGAAGGGGTGCGGTTTTAGTAAAAGCATAAATTATTGAATTTCGAGATGATTTTTCCTGGAAATGGATATTTATAGGTAAAATAAAGGTATGTGATTTTATGAGATTTTATTATTAATTATAGAATGGTTAACTCGTCTATCGAAAATCTTACGATAAACGAGATTTTCAATTTTTAGCCTAAAATTGGAAAATGAGTTTTTAATTTTTAAGGAATTGGATTTTCTAGTATTTTTTATTGAATCCAAATGGGGGGTATTTTTTATTTTAATTTAAAACTTAAAGTAATACTTCAATGTTTTAAAGTAAAATAAGTATGCTGATGGGCTGATGCTGAAGAAGAAAGGGTGCTGGTGTTGTTGTTGCTAAAAAACAGTAGGAACTGTGCTAGCTGCGATCGATTGCAGGTAAGGTGTGATCGATTGCACTCAGTCAATCTTGACAGAAGCTCTCTGTGTGTTATGTGGTAGGTCTTTCTCAAGTGCGATAGATCGTACTAGAGGTGCGATCGATCGCAGTCGCGCCCAGATTTTTTTAAAAGGTGCGGAAATGAGGGTTTCAAACCCCTAGGCTATAAATAGAGGTTTTATTTCGAGGGTTTTAGGGTTCTAAACCTTTCTAAACCTAATTTGGTAAATGAGAGGAAAGAACCTAGGGTTCTAAGGAAGAAATTGCTTGGAGAGGAAGGAGATTGTTTGGGGATTGCAAGGAAAGCTTGGAGATCTTCCCTAAAGCCTTCTTGAGTGATTTGGATCTAAGGGAGGGATCCCTAAGGTCGATATATTATCCAACTCAACCCTATTATGATGTTTTGTAAATAGTAGTATGATAGAAATAGATATTAGATATGTTTTTCCCTAATTATATATGAATTAAGATTATTAGAGATGTAAATGTGGTTTAATACTATGAATAGAATGTATGGAGGATGAGAAATACTATAGAGGATGGGATGAATGTATGGATGTGGATTGTGTTTGGGTTGTATGGATGAATTATGGTATGATGAAATGTTGGAAATAGGAAATGGCAATGTATTCATAAATTACGTACTCAAGGTATTTGTTGAAATGCTTGAGATGGTAAATACTAATATGACACTATAAAATTGTTGTGAAATTAAGTCAAATATGTATTGTTATTTGTCATGATAATAGGTAATGGACAATGAATAACTTATAAATGAATAATTGTGAAATTGATTATGAATTATACTAAGAATTATGATAAAGTTTATATATGTGATTGTTTGTTAAATTATGCCTATTTATTTTGCATGGTAATTGATATTCGGGTAAGTCAATACTTAGAGAAAAATCTTTCAAACCGGGAATGTTCTAACTATTTGGTATGAGACAATACAGTGGAGTTTCCATGGGGGAGATCGGAATCTAAGCATTGACCAATTCGAATGTTAATTGCAACACTTATGTACAAACTCACGTGTATGTTAAGATAAGAGTCCCACAAGTAATACATGTAGATCACAAGCATAAGCATTACATACGCCTGACATATTGAATAAGCCTAATGAGGGATCTGAATAAGTGCATGATCTAAATAAGTTGCTCAAGACTCATAAGCATAAGCATTGCATACGCCAGATATACTGAATAAGCCCAATGAGGGATCTAAATAAGTGCATATTCTGAATAAGCTGCTCAAGACTCATAAACATAAACATCTCACAAGCACGTGGTCTCATAAGCATAAGCATCTCATAAGCATATTGTCTCGTAAGTCTAAGATTCTCACAAGTACATGAGTCAAGGTGATGATATCAAGTATATGAGCACATGTTCTTTCGTACTTTGATTATGTTATTATACTATTGGTTATGGTTCTAACCAAGTGCAGAGATATTATGTTATTGGTTGAATTTTATATACACCAAGTGCTTTTGTACTTAGCCAGACTTTTGTCTTGGCAAGTGTGAAGCCTGAGTTTGTAGGTGAGCCTTGGGTGGAGGAGGCTTACAGCATAGAGGAGGAAGGCAATCCTCTGGTTAAGGGAGAGTGAGAGTTGGACAGGTGACCTTATCTATAGGCTTTTACTTTTGAGTTGTGAGGAGTTTTGTAATAGACTCTTAGATGATGTTGCTTATCAGATTTCTTTTTGGTTGTGTATCAGACTGTTTTGTTTACGGTGGGTTATGATTATGTTGACCATACACTTGAGAAAGATGGTTTGAGTTTTATATATCAAAATTTTATTATTCTCATTTTGGAGACTCGTGTTGTATGCCTTGTATGTCATGTGATTTAAGCAGGTTTAAGAAATGTGGCGACTCAATATCCTATTTTGGTTAAGGTAGGATTTGGGGTCGTTACATAAAAAATCCTCAAAGTTTGGTTATTTGAAAGCTTAATGCCTAGATTGACCATAGGTACCTTAGACCATATTTGAATATCATTCTAAGACCCTAGGACATCATAAAGAATGATTAAAATCTTGATAAAGTTAAGTCAAGCTAGTGACCTAGCAAATCATTCTCATCATTTAGGTTGGTTAAAGTAGTGATTTTCAGTGAAAATCATCCATCTAGTTGACCAGATCAATGCACAGAATTTTATTTGGCCACTGCTTTCATCTAGTCAACTGGATGACCCATCTAGTCAACCAAATGGCACGGGACAGAGTTTTTTTAACTCATAACGACTAGTTTACAAACGGCTCTTTTTGCGTTCAATGCACCTCTAACGGCCATAAAACTTCTTGCGCTATAAATTGAGATTATTTATGAACTAAACAAGAACTCCTATCATGCTCTTCTTGATGAGAATTTTATAGCTTGCTTCTTCTCTAACTATGGTTTCTGCAGCAACTATATAGCAGAAACTCGTGCTCTTCTTGATGGCTTAATGTTGTGCAAGAATCTTAATATCCACAATGTGATAATTGAATCTGACTCTAAAACCTTGGTTGATGTCTGGAATGGATCAACTTCTATGTCTTGGAAGACTTGGTACTGGGATAAAAAGATTAAACCTTTCTTACAAGAGGACATTCCTTTTACTCATACTTATCGAGAAGCTAATGGTGTAGCCGATGAATTGGCAAACATAGGATGTGATATTATGACTTCAGTTTCCTTTAATTCTTATAATGACATTCCAAGGAAAATTAAATCTCTTCTTCATATGGATTCCTTGGGTATAGGGAGCCTAAAAAATGTAAGGATATAGTAGTTTGTCTGTTTGTCCTTGTAAGGGAAAGGTTTTATGTCCCCCCCCCCTCCTATTTTTAATTTTATTAATAAAACCAATAGGGGTCTGCCAAACCCCACCCTCTCCCTCTGAGATACTTTTATTTTTAAAAAAATTATTCTAGATCATTCAATCAATTACTCACAAGCTTAGATTTCCAAATCTATTGAGTTCAACCTAGAATCCTCAAATAAGTTTTATTAAGCTATTTAACTCCAATCTTTAAGAGATTTTCAGTGAGCTTTAGAGAGATTATTCAGCTCGTTTTAGGAACACATTCTGATTATAAAACACTTCTCATCCAAGTATATTGAAATCAAGAGGTCCATGAGACTCTTGTCCTTAAAGTGGGGAAACTTCATTATAAGGTTTGGTCTCTACCCGTAAAGAGGACTGAAGTTAAGAGATGGTGTTCTCTTGCAAAGAAGGTTTGATCTTCACCCATAGATTGTAAAAGTTTGATCTTCACTCGGAAGAAGATCGTGCGATTGAGTAAAATCATGGTGAATCCTCAAGTGGGTATAGGTTGAGATGGGGACGTAGGCAGGATTGCCGAACCTCGAGAACAACATCTTGCATTTGCTTTCTCTTTACTTTATTGTTTTGCATTGAATTTTAGAATTGCTAGTTTTCATTCCCTTTTAAATTAGATTATTTGAAATTCCGCTTAAGAGATTAGGAAGAAAATTTTAAATTAGCCAATACCCTATTCACCCCCCCCCCCTCTAAGGTCAATCCTTGAGCAACATACTCTTGCGATTGTCTGATTGATAATTCTTACAATATTGGGGTCTACTACAGCAACGTGGAATGAAGCTCAAGTTGACGTTATTAACGAGACTATTGCTCAAAAGTACTTATCAAAGGAGGATTCAACTCGAAACAATAATATAAAGAGTTCTCTAAGGTGAGTTCCTCATATTTTGTCATGGAGTTATCTGAGGTGAGCACATGCAATTATTTCATTATTAAGAGTAAATTCAGTTTGTCCAATTGTAATAGGAGGAATACGTATTCGTCCAAAAGCATGCTTGAACTGAATATTATAGAATATGTAAAAGAACATGTAAAAGGAAATTTAATTTATTATATAATATATAAAATAAAATTTAATATGAATCTTCAGTGGGTAAATTTGAGACTATAGAGGAAAATATTAAGCGATCAAGTGTGTATCATTTGAATCATCCCTGTTACGTAGGGCTTTTGGCGTATTGGTCCAGTGTGTATCATTTGGTATTATAGCCTCCACGTCCTGGGTTCGAGTCACAGAAAGGTCTACCTGAGCAGAGTGAGAGCGGTCTCAACAAATAGAGAAAAGGGCTAAAATAGAAATACGTGAAATCAGACTTTAGTCATTCCTAGACCTTTTTCTAACTATGGTTAGCCCACCCTAACCATGGTTAAATACATCCCTTAGTCTCTGGGCTTAACCTTAAGCCTCCGGGACTATACCCTTGCCTCCAACTAAACCTTAACCTCCAGGCCTAAATTCCTAGCCTCGGGGCTCAACCCTAGGCCTCTGGGCCTATACCTTTGGCCTCCGGGCCTAATCCCTAGCCTCCAAGGTCAACCCCTAGCCTTAGGGCTAAACTCTAACCACTCCAATGCACTTGACCTCCTCAGTCAACAAAACTTTAGCCTCCGAGCTAAACCCTAAGCCACCCCGGTGCACACACACACTCCCCTAGTCTTGGCACGGGCTCATGTGCTAGAACTACACTCGATCTAATCTCACCCCGGTGAGTACGTAAGCAACCTAACATGGGTTCAACTTTAGTTAGGATTTTTTTTTTTTGGATTAGTATACCTAAACACTTAGGCATTTAATTAATTTTGGACTTAATTTGACTTATACCTATAGAGTAGGTAACCATTGTAAAATGGGGGCCCCAAGACCTAATCGAACCTCTTACCCAAACTCTAATCGAGACCATTACCCTTAATCTAATCTGAAATATCCCAGGAATTATCTCCAAGAATGAATAGGTGGCAACCCTCGGTCAAAAACTGGGTGGGCGAAATCCGCGCTCACATATTGTTTTTAACATATAATATATATTAGTAATTTATAGTATATATACACTGTTATAACAATGTATTACAGTGTTAATACATTTTTATCCATATTTTATACATTGTATATATATATATAACTAAATTTTATATATTATATAAAAGTGTTTAACACTGTTATAGTATGGGTATGCACTATTATAACAATATGTTAGTTACACTATAAATTTTATTGGTGTATAATATTATTTAATATATACAAACCTATTTTAAATATAACAAAAATAACATATGTACATATATTTAATATATATAATTAAGTATGTCAAGCCGGGCCCAAGCTTTAAGGAGCTATGCCCAAGCCCAACCCACATTAATATGCACCAAAGGAATTGAGCCCGGCCCTAGCCCTAGGGCCAAAAATCTGACTAGGTTAGTGCAATCTGGGATCAACATAAGCTAATAGTTCAGTTGTACTGCCCAATTACCTCAGGTTAGAACTAAACAAAAGAGGGATAAGGACTATAATGGTGGAAGGGAACAAAACACAGAAGGAAATGAACAAATTGTGCGATAGGAATTACAATATGAGTCTTTGAATCAAATTGTAAAATATCTCCTGGATCTCAATTCCTTGTCCAATGGGGTAGGGTCCCTTGCATGTTATAAATATGTTTGGATGTAGGACTTAAAACCTCCATGAAAATTCCAATGCATAGGTGTTGCAATATCTATGAATTATAAAGTCTACAAGAATTCTTCTTTTTGGTTGAGATAATTGAATTTGCTAGAACTAATCTAATTGACAATTGGTATATTTGTTTACATACATGAGATAGCTAGATAATTATATTTTTAGATAAACAAACAAATTAGTCTTCGATTGAACCCATCATTTGAACAAGTTCCAATCTATAGATTAGGGGTGTCAGTATTTCCTTGTATTTGCCTTCAGTCATTGCCTTGTGGTATGATTGAGTTTACCAACAAAAAAAGATTAGTGGCTCCCAATACTTCTTAGTACAAATAAAGACATTCTTATTATATTATAGATTCTAGTTATTTAAAAGGTAATAAGTTTTATGTATTATAAAAGAAAATTTTGGGCCTACCAAAAAAATTAAACAATAAAGTCATAAATTTTTTATTTAAGGGAAAAATTATAGCACACATATGTAATGAGAGACTTCTGTATATTCGACGTTAAAATATTTATCATTTTGATAATTAATCAACTTTTAATTAGTAAATTGTACATAATTTTCTTAAAGTTCGATTAACTGTACATCAAGTAAATACAATTCAAATAAAAGCTATTTAATAGAAAAATAAAATTTATTTTACGGAATTATAAACTAATTAATTATTAAAAAATAAGTCAAATATAAAATAACCTAAGAAGGTCAATAAAGATGAATAGTGAAATTGTAAATGATAATTTCAATTCTCCATATCCACCTCCAAGGTAAATATTACAATTCCCACAAAATGAAAGAATTGACATTGTTTAAATTCACACATAAATTAAAATTCATTGAAATTTAGGGCGTCCAAATAATGGAATTAAAATTCTTATCCTCAGTCATTACTACTAAAGAAGGGAGAGGGAGCCTCTACTACATTTAGGTTCCCTCACTACTCTAGTTTTGATATATGTATTCTAGATGTTTTCAAATTCTCTTGAATCATATATACTACCAATTGTCCTAGTTGGAGGGGAGGTTGGTGTCCAATCCCATAGTATTTAGATATTTAGATTTGTAATTCTGACAATTCTCACCCTCAATTTTTACAATCCAAATGAGCCATTAACGATGCCGTTCTGCTAAGTTATAAAGCCATTATGAGTTGAAACTACAACTAGGGTTCAAATTTGTCCATTCATGCTAACTCACTAACCCTCACGCTAGCCTATTAAAAAAACCATTTTTGTATCTGTTGTGTTAGGGTTAAGATATATATATATAGTGTAGGGAAATCACAATGCCCACCTGCATAGGACTCGAGCATTGAACCTCCCTCCTATGAGAGGACACACTACCACTGGGCTATTCTCATGGTGTGGGTTAGGATATTGATTTGTACTATTTTTTTTTATTGTTGCGATCAATTGGACATTCAGTTTTAAAAGACTAATAACTGAGACACTTTGGTCATTGATGCCCTGAGGTTCGGGTCTCTAATCTTCTTTGTTGACTATTAAGAATGACAAAAATCGATTATGAAAAAGTGGCATCAGATAATGTCGCGACCCAAAATACCCCCTAGGAGTTAGGGATACCCTAGATCGTGACCGCCGTGTCATACCATCCTGTATGACACATAAGGCACATGCACCAACCTGACAGAGTACACAGTCATACATAGCGGAAATGATTTAAAATACATAGCGGAAGCAAAATATATAATTAAACACTCCTATCGCTCGGTTCAAGTCTAAACCAACAAAATAAATATATCCAAAATGTGGAGTGAACAAGTCCCACTCTCACTTAAACAAAACATATCTCCTCTACCTAACACAATCAATAGAAATCAAAGTCGGGCCACCTATCTAGTGATCCATCATCTTGATAGTGGTCCATAGGTTCATAATATTCTTCCTCTACCTAAGGCTCCGAACCACACAAGTCGAAAGGAACCCATGCACTTGCTGATGATAACAAATATCGGCTGAGTGTGGAATACTCAACGTATACATATTACAACAATAAAGTAATAATATCATATAAGCATGCGAGACATGAAGATTGAAATCCTTAAAACATATCGAAACGTAGAAACTGTGAAATAGCACGTATAATGAAATCGAAACCAAAACAGTGTAAGTCTTGCGATAATCATAGCCTGGTGAGTTCTTTGAGTCATATTAAGTTCATAGAGTTCCTTATAATAATTTATGATCCATAAAGCCTTAGAGCAATACCGTAGAACAAACCATAGAGATCTTAGAACAATTACATTTGTGATTCTTAAAGCTTGTACATCGATCTTAGACCTTATCATAGAGTTCTTGTGAGTTTAATATGATCTTTAGAGCTTGTGAACCGATCTTAGACAATATCATGGAGTTTCTTAAAATCATCATATGAGTCCCTTACTTAAAAACCCTTTCTAGAACTTTGAGAAATTCGTGGAAAAATCTCGGTTCATGCGAGACATGTGAAACATATGAGAGTAATAACATATTTAAACACAGAAGCCCTTAGAGGCATTAAACCAAACACATAGAGCGCTTAATAATGGTTGTTTACATCCAAGTATAAAAGCAACATCACATACCATATCAACCTAAGATTTCTAGTATAGAATGAGAAGAACATCATGTGGTGAGTTAGTATTATCACAAGTTTGGTAGTAGAATATATCTACCTTGGTGAAATCGAGGAATTCGATTCTAGATGCTTGGAATAAGTGAAAACTTACACCAAGGAATGGAAGATTTGATCTTCTTCTTCAAACTTGAGCAAACACCCTAACTTTCTCCTTTCTTTTCCTTTCAAACTCTCTCAAAAATATGTCTTAAGGGTTTCTGAAACCCTAAGACACGAGCTGGGCCTCTTATAGGCAAATGGGTGATGGTTAAAGACTTAAAAACCCTTAATGAAGAAAATCTACATATAACTGATCGATCGGTGGTCAGGATCAAGTGATCGGTGCTATACCGAGCGATCGGTTGAAAAACACATCTCTGGAATTTTTTCCCATACAAAATCTTTGACCAGTCGACAGCAACCGAGCAATCGGTAGATGACCGGGCGATCGGTATTATTACCGAGCGATCGGTGCTCCCCTGTTTTGCTGCAAAACCCTTTTTCCACTACTTGGACCTTCTCCAATCCAATTCTAACACCTTATACACTCAAAACACACTCCTTTAGGCTATATATACAGATCAACACATGCACACCATATATCCCAATATTTCCATTATCGTAAGACCTATTAGTGTACAAGACTCCACTTGAACACTATTCACTACTTAGTGAAATGAAGGTTCGAGGTTTTACAGATAACATCTAGTGGCCATGGCTGCTTGATGTTAATGGCTTAGTCTTCTTGTTGTCACCTAATTAGCTATACAACTATTTGATCTCTTGGGCGTATCCCACACAAATTATATCACTAGGCATTCAATTCATGGATTTTTTGCTAGGCCTACCAAGAGAAGATACGAGATGAGAGAAATGAGGATTTGTTTCTAATTTGGGATTATATAATAAATGGTAAAATGGAATTTATAGAAAATATTTAAGGGTAAAAA